CTGGTCGAGCTGAGCGGCAAGATTTACTTGTTTCCTAGACAACGAGATTCTTGGTTGTCAAACGGACGCCATTAGATTTGGAGACGAGCCGTCGACCCGTTTGGACGTGCTCTGTCCCCTTTCTGTATTTCGCTACGTTCTCTTGCATTAAAGAGTTTGTCACTTCTTAAGTTGATGTTCCCTTTATTTCTCCGCGGCGATCTGGTACGCGTGCGCGTGCGCGAGTGCGGAAACGCGGGTAACACACGTTCGAGTGCGCGAACGCGAGTTTTACCGCCCCGGGCGTAACAATATGGTAAAGGCGGTCCACCTGAGCTGAGAGGTTCTGGTGCAGGTACATTCATTTTCTTTGATTCAAATTTTAAACCTATTTTTGAATCTTTGAAAATACCACCGTCACTACGGCGGCCATAAGCTGCATTAGGTGCGTCCTGCATTAGGTGGACACTAAGAAAATAAATAATTATTTAGATATCAAACTTATAATCTTCAATGATAAATGTAGCATTGATCTGCAGTAATATTACTTCAATAATGACATGTTTGCCATCAATAGCTCCTATGCAGTGATTGAAATCCCATCTTTTTTCAAATTCTTTAGCAATGTGTAGCCATTCCTCTGTAGTTTTTGATAGTGGGATCACTTTTTTACAAATAGAGTTCCATATTGCTGTACATGTTTCATCTATAACGTTGCTTATTGTCGATACTCCAACAAGGTAATGATATGACATTGAATGCATTGAATCACCAGTTGATAAATATCTAAATATAATTATATCAAATATAATTATTTTTTAAATGCATGGCGTGATGCAATTATAAATAAGAACAAACAAACCTTAATGTTATGGATAATCGCTCTGCAGGAGGTAATGGTTCTCTAATTAGGGTTTGTTTAGTAATTGCAGGTGCCACTAAGTATAACAATTCTTCAAATTGTGTAGCCGTCATACGATAATAATTTCGAAATTTCTCTGGTGTTAGTCTTGGTACAGATGCATAATAAAATCCATGTTCATGTCGTTTTTCAAATAATGGATCAATCCAAAATCTTTTTTTTTTATATATTTTTTTAAATTTATATTCACTGATACATACTGTTGCTATTAGTTTACGCCGTCGATCTACTTCATTTTTATTGTGCACAATCGCAGCAACTTTATAAATCCAACGTAATAACTTCGTATAGCATACAACTGAGTCGACAAGGCACACAGGGGATA